CGTGGTGCGGCTGACCCCAGCCATGTGCCAAAAGCCAACCTGTGCAGGAACAGGGACTTCGCCGCGCCTGCAGGTAACTAACGGTGCACTTCAGAGGGCTGACCAGGCATAAACACGAATCTCTGCTCCGTATTATACAGAGAAGTGATGGAGAGCAACACGGTCATTGGATGACATTAAATTACCAAGAAGCAAGCGACAAGTCTTAAAATTCACTTAGTATTTCATTAAAACAACTTCTCAGATGAATTATCCCCAATGCTCCTATGACACAGTTGCAGAATTTGTTTAAAAAAAAAAAAAAAACCACACGTTTAAATGTATTTTCAGGGGTAGTTCTAGTGTGTGATGCAATACCACAAGCAGCACAACCACTGCCTGCGAGAAAGGAATGTCATTTGTGGCAAGGTCTGCTTTATTTCTGCTGAGCCAGTTGGAAAAGCGTCCATACTATACGTGGTTTACAAAAAAGGGAAAAGATCTTCCCAGCCATGAAGAATTTGGCAAGACTTCCTGAAAAATGTAAGTTTCGTAAGGATTCATGTGGCTCTGGGTCATGAGACGGACTGATCTGTGGACCAGGCATGAGGTTTCACTGGCGAGAGAAAGATTGATACTGCAAGCGTGCAATCTGCAGTTGCGGGCGAGCAAGCCCGCATTCGCAAGCTAACGCCCAGCTGTGCCATGGGGAGCCGTCATCTGCTTGTGATTTCAGGAGTTTATTTAATCAAGGCTGTAGAAAAAATCCTAGCAATGGTTATTTCAAACTATTTTATCAGAATCGGGTGACAGCGCAACAGCTTCTCCGCCTGGTTGGCGGAAACAAACTCATTCACCTGCGAAGTTGACAAGTGGCACACACCTTGCGCTGTGAAGTTCCAAGAAAAAAGAAGCCTGGCAGGGACTCAACTCTTCAGAAGCTTGAGGATTGGTGTAAACGGCGTGACGTCAGCTTTGCTCCCTCCAACGCGCGCTCGCTGCCTGAGAAGGCGCTGCGAGGAAGTCCGCTATCAAGAAGCACCTCAGTGAAAAGTGTGGTACCGAACCAGGTGGTGGTGAAATACTCACAGGTGAGGTGAGGGGAGCCCTTGGACACAAAGCCTAACTAAAACGGGCTTCTCTTCTGTGTCTCTGTGTGTGTGTGTGTGTGTGTGTAGGAAATGTGCTGGGTTTTATTATTTTAAATTCAGATTCTTCAGAGTGACTGAGGTGGGCAAGGCAATCCCGTCCATCAGAATCCATCAGCTGTAACACCACCACTCCTGCTATGTACACCATTCCTCACCACCCCCGTCAGATTAATGTATTCCGCTGTGTCCTGATCATCGAATGAAACTAAAGAAATCCCCAGGTATTTACATTCTGCTTTCTTGGGATCCTTTCTCCGATCCTCACTGCCCAGCAAGGAAGAAAGACTGTTTCAGTAGTCCAGGGCTGGAACGCCTGGGGCTCAGTCACACCGATGGTAGAAACGGGTAAGCAGGATCTGCTTGTCCGGCCAGTGGAAAGCAGATCAGGATCCAGGTGCTGGTGTTTTTCCCCACTGGAGTTAAAGGAGGCAGATAAGGTTTTTTCCTTCTTCTATTTCTTCTTGCACTTTGTCACTGGACGTGGCTATTTCAGCTTGGGCTGAGAAGACTGCGCAGATGAACGTCAGAACAGTGCCACCGATGGCTGTGTAGAAAGCCCAGCCCAAGGAGCAGTCTCCCAGTTTGTAAGCGGAAGCGTAATGTCCACAATAGCTTATTGCTTTCTGGCATCCCCAACCTGCAGGGTAGAGTATCAAGCCTAAGATAAGGAAGAGGCCTAGAAACAAAAAAAAGAGGAAAGAAGTTTTAACAACTCATTATCAGTTCAACATCAAACGCAGCACATGCAGTAGTGGTTATCGTGGTCACTACTCACACCTAAGTACCAGTATTAGAAGACGACTCTTCCTCATCCCTCCTTCCTTTACTGATTGTTACCGAGTGTATATACCATGCAGTGTTTATTATCTAAACCTGATGCTGTCCCGTGTGTTTTCTTGTGAAAGGTTTATTTCCTGTGATAACGGCCTAGTTCTTAATTTTAGTCTCTACATTCCTCCCACGTCCCGTTTTTACACGTTACTGTAGACAGTGCCTGCAGAATACTTGAGCATCTCTACCTGCTGTTCATACTTCCACTTTTCAAATACTTAGGAATGTTTGCATCTGCTTTTGAGCCTGTGTTCAGGTAGCCCTCCTTCGGCTTTATTTAGTCATTCACCATGATTTCTGCCTTTTTTTCCTCTGTATTTTTCCTACATGGATTTTCTTGCCTGGAAAAAAAAACCCTGAAATTCTGAGACTGCATGTGCTTACCTGGCGGCGTTAGGACACAGCAGGAAAGTAACAGCGCCAGGTCAGTGAGCCATTTTCCTGAGAGGAAGGAGATTCTAGAGCCAGCCCCAGACAAACAGATCCAAGTACCCACGGGGAGCATGTAGGATTCCCACACGCTGGGATCCTCTAACAGGCCACTGCCTGCTGCAGAAGGCAAGCACGTTTCCAGTGATGCCTTCTGGATCAACTCCCCATCTTGCTAAACTGCCTGAACAACCGGATGCGCCTCAGGCCGGAAGTAAAAAGCTCAGACGAGGTGTTTTGCCCATCTGCCTCCTGTAGTCACGGTTTTCTCTCCTGTGAGGACCAGTCTATCTAAGGGTTTCGCTGAGGAGACTAAAAGTCCCATTAGAGTTCCTGCACAGACGAGGTGTCTTTCCAGAAAGATGAGGGATTTAATTGAAATGCCCGCTACACGCTGGTGGCTGCGGTGCTCTCTGACGGGCCCCGCCAAAAAGAACAGCAGTGAGGTAAAAGGGGATGCTTCTCCTCCGAGGTATGGAGCAAGGAAAGGTGTGGAGGAAGGACCTCCTGTCAGCCCATCACACTATCATAGGTACCAAAATTTGCTTTCTGTTTTCTTTAGAAGTTCACTCAGGAGATCAGTAAGAATTCTGAAAAATAGTTTTTGCTTAAATACAACCAGTTTGTCCAGAAAATTATTACTGCCTTCCAGATCCCATAACTATTACCGAATCATTTGCCTGCGCTGTATAGCCCTTCATTCAACCTGTCACCTTGACAACAGCAGCTGGCAAAGGTACTGCCGCTGTCTGTAAGTGGGCTGAAAGTTGTGCTTTTTACGATGGTGCTGATTCACCCGCAAGATTTTATCTAATCCCAAAATTTCTACCAAGTAATCTTCCCCATACTAAGAGCAGCTGTAGAGACGTGTTTGCATCTTCTTCAGTTCAGTTAAGACTAGCCTGCTCTGCAGTACGTCACGTGTCCTTAATTGTTTGTTCAAGGAAATTCCGCCAGGAAGCTTCCTCATTGAGAAAGAAAAGCTGGGCCCTAGCTAGTAAGCAGTTAATACGCAGAGAATGCCATCATGCAACTGCCTAAAATGAATGTCTGTGAATGCCAGGCATTTCACAAAAGAAAGTCCTTCCCCCAGCGTTTTTCTAATGATGACCCAACACCATGGGCATGAATGATAAGTCCTTGGGGCAGCAGAATCCATGAGCGAGTGATACCCGTTCTCTGTGAAGGGAGTTCATCACTGCTTACATTTACGAACCAGTGACACATTTTATGCAGTGTTTCCTGGCTGATTGTCCCAACGGCATTAAGAACAAAGTATTGCTTTATCTTGGACAGACCTGGATAAGCTGCGCTTTCATCCTGCTGAGCCCTGCAGCTGTTTCAGACTAAACACCACCGGTTCCTTCTCCTCTGTTCATCACTAGTTTCCTGTTCCGCGTAACAGGCAGGACCACGCTGTATATTCTCCTGACTGGACAGTGGTATGCGCCGGCTGCCGTTTTCTCTAGCCATCACAAGCCCTTTGGTAGTTAAAAATCACCGTCGCCGAATTAAGAAGTCGGATCTGAAACGCCAGCGTAGCTGCTGCCGACGTGAAGTTCTTAGAGTTCACCACTCCCATCACTCACAAACCGAGGGAGCCTGTGTTTAACGGCAAACCTGGCGTATGGCTGAGTCACAAGGTAAACCCGTCTCTTCTTACCGAAACCACAGCACTAAACAGCTCCTGAAAGCAACTGGTCCACGCCCCAGGCTGAAAAGCCGTCAGCCAAAACTGAGGCACCCGAAAGGCTGCAGCCCTGCAGTCGAGTGCAGTCATCAGGATGCCACTGCGTTAAAGCGTTTCTTAAAGAGCACAGAAAATACTGACTGCAGCCCATAACTTGATAAACTACAGCCGTTTTCTCACAGAGCAAAACAGAATTTGGAGGAAAGTCTTAACTATGGACCTGAGTATGGTCAGCGTCTCAGCTGACTTTTCCTTCAGATAGTGGACTTTGTGAATCCTACCCTGCCTTAGTATAACGAGAGAAGGAAAAAAATGGTATTTTCACTACCAAACCCACCTTCTGAGCAGACAGAAAGCTGCTCAGGACATGTGCCTCTTCTCGCTGTCGCTAGTATTTATTGCCATTTCTCATTTCATTAACACCTGCTTCCTACTTACTAGGAAAAGTGAATAAGGGTGGTGCAATGAAGCCAGTTCAGGTACCCACAACGGGGCTGCAGTTGAGCGAAACCCACTTACAGGCCAGTCTGTGGGCAGATGACCCTCAAGACAGAAAAAACAGGGCGAATTCTCAGCGCCGATTTCTCATACTGGTGCCCACAGGGCAGAGCCTGGCCAGGCCCCTTACAACCCTCTGCTGCTTCGAGGGAAGGTTAAGCCTAGCCGCCTGTCCTCCTGCAGCTCTCCGGGTTTGGTGGTTTATTTGCGTTACCATCCAGCCTGGCAGCTCTGCTCACAGTTCCCGCCCCCAGCAACTGACAGTCTGCTTTTCAGACCAGACACGCAGGGCTGGAGTGCAAGACGCAAGCGAGACGATCCCAAACCACATGCCGGCAACAGCCTCATCGGTAGCCTGATGGTTACTAGGTTTTCCCTTCACAGATGCCACAACAAGACAGTCCTCAGAAAAATACTGAAGGATGAGAAAGGGGTTTTCGGTTGTGTGTGGACAGCGCAAGGCTGCGTGGAGGTGCGCAGTCATGTCTTCCGAAGAGCCCTGCGTGGAGCCAAGGAGCAAAGCCTCTTGCCAGTGGATGAAACATAGAATCACAGAACGGTTT